GTTCGGCTTAAATATTAGTCAAAGCAAGACCAAGATACTTGTCCAAAACACAAATACTGCACTTCAAGTAAACATTAATGGCCAACCACTTAAAATTGTTGATCACTTTTGCTATCTTGGCTCCATCATATCCAACGATGCTCTACTGGATAAAGACATCAACAATAGAATAGCCAAAGCAATGGGCACCATGTCACGGTTGCAGAGAAGAGTGTGGGACAACATATTGCTGACTAACAATTCTAAAGCCTTAATCTACCGGACCTGTGGGATGATCACTTTGCTATACGGAAGTGAAACATGGTCAACCTACTCATGGCAGGAAAAAAAGCTAAATATCTTCCACCTTCGATGCCTAAGGCGGATCTTTAAAATAAGATGGCAAGATAAGATAACCAATGAGGAAGTGCTACGAAGAGCATGGTGCCATCACATCCGCTCTGTTATCAGCAGCAGACGCCTTGGCTGGCTTGGCCACGTTCGCAGAATGCCAATAGGTCAACTTCCACAAGACATCGTGTATGGCGATCTTATTGAAGGCAGGAGAGCCGCTGGTCGCCCACTTTTACGGTATAGAGATGTATGCAAACGCGACATGAAACTATTTAAAATCGACACTAGCAGCTGGGAAAAAGTAGCACTGGATAGATCCACATGGAGAAAGAGCATAAAGGAAGGGTCTCGGATTGCAGATGCAATACACAACAGAAGCAGAAAGAAGGCTGATAATGCAACTGCGCCTGGTGATTTCATTGCCCAATCTGCAACCGCAGCTGTGTATCAAGGATTGGCCTCTTCAGCCACATAAGAAGTAGCAAAGGGAAAAGATCGTCTCTCGAGACGTAAAATGCCACAGATATATATATAGGTCAGTGATCTGATCATTATCGGATAAGAACTTGTTGCCGTTTTCCAGTCTATGTATAATATATATAACCATCACTCAAATCAGATATTTACAATATGACGAATACCTCAACCAAAAATAAAAATAACAAGGTTACAAAGACAGTTTGTGTGGAAACACAAACTCAAAATCGGCCCCCGAAATGATCCACCCAGGCAGGTAAAAAGGCAGGTTTCAATATTTTCAGAAAGAACATCAGAATTAAATTCTATCAATGACAAATGACAGAGAAGAATGGAAAAAGGTTTACAGATCTTGTGTGGTGCCCCAGCGCAGCGGTCAAGCAGACTAAAGGAGAGGTAAAAATGAATATGAAGTTAAATGCGAAACTGGCGTAACTGATGTCTTATAATGAATATTTAATTGATCTAATTGTTTTGTAAAGGTCAATCTCTTAATGAAATCCTCAAAAAAAGAAAATAATATTTCCGTAAATTAAAAAAAAATTCCTTTAGTTATGTGTTATATTGCACTGCAGTTCACGCGACCGTTAATATGAAAATCTACTTATTAATTGTTATTTTAAATTATGTCCAACTTATATTCATACTAAATAGATTTTTTCTCTTAAAAAAAGTAAACATTATTTTTGGTGTAAGTGTAGTAAATAGTAGGACAGAACTTACTTAACATAGCAATACACATGTAAAAAAAATAATTTTAACAATAAATCTAAATACACATTCCACCTACTAATGAGCCTCCCGTGTTTGTTACTATTAATAGTGAATAGTTGTAAAAGTGGTGTATTTTTATGAAAAAAAAACTGCTTACATAAGTGATTTACAAAAAGATTTTTCGCTTTTAGAAAAGAAAAAACTAGCCGTTGCATCAGAACTTTGGTACTAAAATATTATGATGTCGGATTTTCACTATCTTTTCTAGTTTACGAGATCTAAAAGGGACGGGCGGACGGACAGACATGTCACACAAAACTAATAGTGTCTTTTTCCCCTTTCGGGGGCCGATAATAAAAATTCAATATTTTCTTTCATTCTGTTTTCTGTAGAAGTGTCATGGGACATAACTCTTCACGGGAAAGTAGTACGCAACTCTTTTTTTGTATCACTTTTATTACAGCATTTGACGCTAAACTATTGTACCTACGTAGACTTCATTCTATTTATCAATTGTACTTTTTAATAATTATTTTAAATATAAATGATTTTCTATTACAAATTAATATAAATTATACAATTTAGAAATGCTGCGACTTATTGACCTAGATTAAAGCTATTATAATTACAAATATATAGTTACCTTCATCACAATCTAAATGTTGCAGATAACGGTACGTAATATCTATCTATACTTTTGGAAGAGAGCATGATATGGTATCTATAATCTAATATTCAAGTCAATGACATGCGCCGCTCACAAAACCCCTACACTAACCTTGCTCTAATTTAGTACAATTCGATTCTCACTATAAATAGCCGAGCTTTCATATAAATTAAGTACAACCTCTCAACGACCTTTAAAGACCTCAGTGATCAGAAAAAGACTTGTCACAGACAACAAATTATTGCGAAAGGGAAAACCACTGACATTATTAATTTTAAAATGAACTTAAATGATGCAACTAAATATTGACCCAAAATAGGAACAGTTTTTCTTAATTAAGCGACTCCAGCCGAGACCAATCTTATTTACTGACCGTAAAAGTCCGCGGGCGGACTGTCTATATGGGCTTTCGGGCAAATGCTCGGTGGGCCGGTACCCCATATGGCCGGTTGGTCCATCGAAAATGCCGCATGTATGCCACTAAGACTTGTATTAACTTGGAACAAGATTGTGTCGTGATTTACACACTCTACACTGTATTAGTGCTACTAATCTAACGCATTTCCGAAATAATGTAAAAGCCTGCATCTGTATATAGCAGCGGTTCTCAACCTTTTAAAATCCCCCATTCTGCCGCGACTCCCCCCTCCCCCCGCACACAGACACAGCAATAGAAGAGTAGACAATAATAATCCTTTTTTTTTTTCGATGGTCTTATGCGACCCCTGGCAAATCGCCAATCAACTCCTAAAGGGGTTGCGATCCACAGGTTGAGAACCCCTGGTATATAGTGTTAATTATAGGCTTTATCCCTTCTAGAGGCCTACGCAAGATGTGGTTAAATCTCATGCTGACAGCGCCTATGAATGAACGAAACACAACGTCATTGCTTCCTGGAGATCAACTCACGTGATCTCCAACTAAGAAACACTAAATGTCAAGGCAACGAAGATGTAGACCGAAATACAAAGAGACTAAAAATATAAAATAATCTTGACAGTATTTGTTTTCCACAATGATATTAAATTACCTTTAAACAAATGAGCGTGATGCTATGAGAGCATGTAACATTATGTGAGCGTAGCCAACTCCCAAGATGTAGACACTCAAACAGGATCTACAAGTTATTATAATAGCAGCTGATAACCTTGTGAGGTGGGCGGACAAAAGAATTGAGGATGAAGAGTTGAATTTGTACATGTAATTCCATATGCCCGAGAACATGGCTAGGAGTGAAATCGAATCAGAGTAAACCATGTAGATGATGTCATAGTTGCTGATATAGATACAGATTTTTAAAGATGTAAAATTTATTTACAGGGATGCATCATGTAAGTATGCTGTCTTGTGCGAACGAACGTAGTCACTGCATACTAAAGATATGTAGAGTATAGGCTGAGAAGCATCATAACAAAAAGGCAGAACATTTCATGGTGACGGCTGTTGATAAAGACGTCCTGAGAGTTGTCACTTGGAAACAGTCGAATAGTTCGTTGTTATGGGATCTTATCGAGCCTTATATGTGAATAGCAAGGCCTGTATGGTAGTTTTTTTTCCGCGTTATAAAAAATCCAATTTCAAGTGTCATCTTGTAATTACTAATAGTTTAAAAATTCATAAAGTACACATTCCATATAGCTAACCATGCAGGCTACTTACTAGTAGAGATATATTATGTTACGTAAACCCAGTTTTCGTCAAATATTCAAGTTTAGCATAATGGTTTTGAGGATATGCTCCTCATATGGCATGTAATTTCGGGGCCAAATGGCAATTTTGACACCCTGTCCGACCCTGTCCAAGTGCCATCCTAATAAGATGGGAGTAAATTCCCTGGTCTCATGAAGACCAAACAGAGAAATTATCACTGTAGAGAAACACAGAAATAGTTTCACATTGAAATGGTTTATCCAAATGTAGTAAATTTTATTAAGCGTTTCCGCACTATCTCTAGTGCAGATAAACCAATCATAGGTAACACTAAAGTAACGATATCCCATAACACAGGCGAAAGGTCAACAATAGAAGTCAGTCGACGCTGATAGTGAATGTCGAACAAGACGTTTAATAATAACGAAGGGAACTGTCGAATGTCGTCAAGCTAAATCTCTACGTTCCTAAAAAGCTCCCTCTCTCTAAAGCCGTTAAGAGTTGTCTGTTTATATTGGTTTGTCTTTCGCTATTCCTTTTCAAAAACCCAGTCTAGTTTTTACTAGTCGCGTCATTGTCTCTGAGTCAAAACTTCTCCAATGACATGGCTTCTAGCTAATGGTCTAAACAGCCCACAGATTGTGCAGGTCAGTGTTCAGGCGTGACCTTCGTGACCCCTATGTCGAAGGTGCCGGTTCAGGCCTTCTATAAAGAATGGTCTCGGTCCACACACGCAAGCATACAATAGAGCAGTGTGTCCAAATTTCCAAACTGTGTTCTGAGGCCTGAATAGGTGTTCCAAGAAGTACTGGAATAATTACCAAGTAGGCAACCACGTGAATTAATCTCTCTAAAAAAATAAATAAATAAACAGAGTGCTCCGCTAAATACTCAGAGTACGCGACGTGTTCCGTCAAGGAAAAAGTTTGGGAAACACTGCAATAGAGACCTAGATGTACTATCAAAATTTCAGCGAACCTTAACGCGCACAGTATGCTTAGACACTAAACCATCTTATTGTGAGTCATAGATATAGATCTAGTATCTAAATGTTAGGCTTACCTGTATTGTCCTACACAAATAAAATATCCCTTTCAAAGCGATAAAAATGTATCTTTCACTGTCTTAAACTCAAGTTCTGCTGTACTTACTTGGTAATGATTCTATGGTGTAATGGATAGCACTCTGGACTTTGAATCCGGTGATCGGAGTGCAAATCTCGGTAGAACCTTAAATTTTTTTTTCATTTTTTTTCTTTACAAACCCTTCTGATGTCAAATATTGTGTTTCATCGGATCACGCTGTCAGGTTTGCGAGACGGACTTACTGAATAAGTTTTGTTGTTTACATGACATTTGCTTTCCTTGGCGGCTTTTGTATTTCTTGCTAACGGAAGCTCATTTTTTTTTTCTCAGGGATTATTAACCCTAACCCTAGACCTAAATATTGTACCATCTGTTCCAACATCTCTACTTGTTATTATTAAATAAACATCAGTATTCTAATATCTGTTCCAAGAAGATCTCTACTTGCTATTACATTGGGTATTCCATATTTTCAGCACAGTATCCCAAAAACCTAATTTAATTTTTAATCATTTTTGGTACTAAACTGGCTAGATTTACAACAAATTTTTTAAACCGCTAAATATAATTTTTTTTTTTTTTTTTTTGGTGATAATTTTTAAGATAGTAGATAAGAAAAAACTCCAAAATCGTGACCAGATGCTGTAGTAATACTTACAACGTAACTCAACATTCAAGGAACATGCATTCTGTTAACGTAGGCCTACGTGGCTAGTCTGATAAGTTTACTAACATTGATTAAGTTAACGTAGGCCTACGTGGTTAGTCTAAGTTTACTAACATTGATTAAGTTAACGTAGGCCTACGTGGCTAGTCTAAGTTTACTAACATTGATTCAGTTAACGTAAGTTAAAGGTGTAGTTTTTTCTTTACATTAACTTTTATTTCTCTAGGCCAGTGATGCCCAAAATATGGCCCGCGGGCCAGATTCGGCCCGCGACGCGAGTCCATCCGGCCCACCGAAATGTCTACACAAAGTGTAGAAAATCCCCCATTTTTCCAAAAAAAAAATGTAAAAATTTATTTTTACTTACGTTAGGGGCTTAGGGTCCTAAATCTTTCTCCTGATGATAAGTTCCATGACATTTAACATTTGTGCGTTTATGAAATAGGTATCTGAGTGTAGAATGTACGTTTTCTACCAGGAAAAGTGAACGGTTCTTTACTTTTTTTGTGGCACATGATAATAAGCCAACATATTTGTTTTATAAAGAAAGTGTGCTATTAAAAAAAAAACAACATATAAACGCATTATGAAACAAATATGACGGCATTCTTGGTTTGAGCCGCGAATAAAAGATTGTTAAAATAAGAAATAGAAATTGGAGAATTTAATGGGAATATTTAACAAAAAGAGACAGGAAAATGACTCAGTTGTAAAGCTAGCTACAATGTGGATCATATTCTAAGCACAGAAATGAAGCCCAATTTTGCTAATATATTAAGTAGAGAAATGAAGCCATCTTCAGACGCGGGGAATAGAGATACATTTCAAATGTCCCATTAATTAATGAAGCACATGATCTATGCTTTTCAGGTCAATAACGTTTTTGTTTATGTGGCCTGCGACCCGAGTGTCGGAAATAAAAATGGCCCGCAGGTCGAATTATGGGCATCACTTCTGCTCTACACCATCTTCTTGGGTTTTTTGTTCGTTTTTGTTGGTTTTTTTTGCGGCCCCCGAAATAATCTACTATTAGGTTTGTGTTGTCTATCTGTTCATCCATCTGTCCGATCCGTCCAGTTTAGATCTCAAATAAAAAAAAAAAAATATTGAAAAATTCGATATCATGATATAAATTTTTTGAGCCAACGAATACTTCTTTTTTCTTTTCTGAAAGCGAAAATTTTTATTTTTAAAATTAACTATGCAAGCAGTTTTTTAATTAAAATACACTATTTTACAAAATATTCACTATTAATAGTTAAGAGAGGAAAAAAGGAAGAAAGAATATACAAAAAAAACAACACATTTAGTTAGGGAGGTGATTTTTCAGAGAGAGAGAAAATGAAAAAAAGACACAAAGAAGTATGGACGAAAATGGGTTGTAGTTTTTAATAGTTTCTAGCTCATTGTAGCTGATATTCTGAATGAAATATTGAAAGCTGCCTTTTTACCTGCCTGAGCGGACCATTTCGGGACCAATTTTCAGTTTGGGTTTTTTCACAAAGTGTCTTTGTAACCTTTTTTTTTAGATGCATTTACCTCTCCCAGCCAATGGTCCCATCTCCTCAACCACCTTCCCCCCCCCCCCCTATCGTCCAAACAGCAGAGCCTCTATTGCGTCTTACCGAAACTACAAGTTTCTTCCAAGGACAGAGATATTCCTATAATGATGATGGTGTCACCATTAAAAACAACTATTAATGAAGAGAAACGCTCAAGTGAATCCATGAAATAATTTTTTTTGGGGTGTGTTTGAAAACATTAAACGTTTTTCCGTTGACTTTTTACATCAGCCTCTTCAGTATCCCAAAAATTAATACGACCACTTTATCTCGACCTTATAATCGTTTAAACTAGTCTATAAACTTTCTATTCAAGGGTATCTGAAGCTCGAGATTTAAAAAAAGAATATATGTTTGTGTGTTTGTATAGTTTATATTAGTTGAAACACAAAAAAATCTTGGATTACATCGTTTCACTAGTTTACTAAACTCTCAGCTAATCCTAGTCCCTTAGGCTCCGTTGCGCTTTGAAACATAAATGGAACATATGTTCACTCCGGTAATCCAGATTAGGCAGTCTACACTGCACACGTTTCTGTTGTGTTTTATCACATCGGGACTATTGCATTGGCGTAGCAAAAATGACGAGAAGGGGTTCTATGCGTCGGGGGCCATGATCATAAGGAGCCATTCTCAACCTTCGAGGTTTTTTTTAGAGGGGGGGGGCACTAGTATATTATTGAGCCGGACCCACGGATATTTCTAAAGTTTAATGCTGGCTCGTTCGTTTTCGTGAATCTCGCATTCAGATTATATAGAGAATTTAAGTATGAGTTAACTCGAGAAAATACACATACACACATAAACGCAAACACATTATACAAACACACACACATACGCACTTACATATATACGTTTATTTTCAGGGTTACCAACCAATGAAATGCATTCATTAGCCCAATGTTGTAGGCGTCCTCATTGTTGACATCGCGATAGGATTACATCACCTTAGAATTCTATATAGATCTCAATCAAAGGAAATTGTGGATTGCAATTAAAAAATGGCGAGTTCTTGTTTTAAAAAGGGTGTAGTCTGAGTGCGTGGTGGCTGAGTGATAAAGCGCTTGATTTCCGAACCGAGGATTCTTGGGTTTGAATCTAGACGATGACTGGGATTTTGAATTTCCGCATTTTGAAGGACGTTTCATAGTCTGGCCAACTCTAATGAGTGCATGTTTGGGAAGGAGGTGCGGTCGTCGAAATGGTCACATGACACCCTTGTTAACCGTGGTACCAGATGAGCTACTCTACAGCTCCCAAGGTCTGAACTAGAGGAAATAGTCCACCATTTGTTGACGGTATATTTAATATTCTTAGAACTTATTTGAGATTTTCCAGTTTGACTGTGAGTCTGTAAATACCGTAAACCTGTCGATTGGGGGTGGACTTGATGAGACACTGAGCTATTTGAGATCAAACATAAAGCAATGTTTACTTTGCTCAAACTTCAAAATGGTTGACACTATCCATGGAATTAATTTTGAGCCCCTCCCCCCCCCCCCCCAAGCAAGCGAGGATCTCAATTTCATGCTTTTAGCTTTCTCAATGCGCAATGATCCTATCACTTGTCTCTGGACCAAGTTGGAGAAAAAAACTTTTGGGGGTGGGGGGAGTCGGAAGGGAAGAAAAATTTACATTGAGAACTTTTTAGATGTTTTTTTTTTTGTTTTTTAAAGTTTGCGACTTGAATTCGAAAGTGAGGTTTCAAGCCTCCCCAAGCCAATGCATTAACCACTTTGCCAGCGAAATTCTTTTGAAAATAGAAGTTTTCATAGCTATCAATTGTTAGTTTCGAACTTTTAAGCGGCAAAGTATATTGGAGACTAATTGAACCTATACCGCCACATCTGTCAATTTCTTTCCCTTGTTTAGTTTCAACTCACTCTGTCAGTCTGGTAACAATTTTTAAACACATTTTTTCTCTCACACCCATTCTCGGATCAAGTTGAAAATCTGCACAATTGCTCATTGGAGAAGACAAGACATGAATAAAAACAGTAACCAATTAGTCAATGAATTATTGGTAATTTGTTATTTTGTTTGATACCATTAGGTAAAATTAATCCCTTAGTATTCACAGATATGGTTAAATATGTAGGGTTTAATCCCCTTAAATAATTAAACACATTATTTCTCACACATCTAATTTCGGATCAAGCTGAAACTTTTAACTATTATTTATTGTACCTCATAAAACGTGAATCTTTTTAAAAATTAACCAAGTAGTCAATTAATTATAAGTAATTAATTATTGTGTTTGATATCGAATAAGGGAAATAACTTCTACATTATTGCTCCATGTGGTTGAAAGTACGGAGTCCAATCACTTATATAGCATTGCTTTGTTTTTTAAAAAAGGATTTTTTAAATATTTTGCTTATTTCATATTTGTATTCCTTAATACGGCTTCCTCTGTTATTTCAATATTAGTTTAGACTTTTTTAACAAGCTCTGGCTGTTTCGCAAGTAAGTCTCTTCTCTCTCTCTCTCTTTGTTACACACACACACACTCTGATCCTGCCTCTCTATGGGCTTCCCACGTCACTCAATTGGCCATCCATATACCGCCCCCTGACAGCGCGACTGATCAGTGATTGCCGGTTGACACTGACAAAAACTAATGGTCAAATAAAGCCCCCTTCTGTCCGACCATAGACTCACGACTGGCTTCTGGGTGATTTATTGTGGGTACTTCCGGTCTGTCCGTGCATCAGCAAGGGCGGGAGAGGAAGGAGCGATACCATGTATGATACCTCTTCTGGAACTGAGGATATCTTTGTTTTGGCGAGTGATGTCCAACTGTTCCATACGGGAGACAAGTTCTCTTGAGTTAATTCCCTTGAGTCAAGCTCTATCTATTGCGCAACCGGCATGAATCCATGTTCTAGACTAGCCAATAAATCTTTTGTTTTTTTCC